ATTACATCTATTATAAATTAATTTACTCACATATGATTGCATTTGACAACGCTGAAATAGCGTGTGTATTCAGTTAGTGATGGTCGCCATCTTGGATTGTGTAAAGTACAAACCGGAAAGGGGAATGAAATTCCGGATTTGTCGTTTTTAATGAAGAAGAGCTCAAATAAAAATGCTGTTTTAATCTTTGATCACATTTACTGACAGCAGTATTTAATATAGTTTTAGAGGAAATAAAAACACTGTACATTTTATTAAAACATTTTCTCTTACAACAATAAGAACTTTGATATAAACTTGTTCATGTAAGTGTTTCCCCCTATAGCTTTTAAATATTTCTTCTTTAAATTATTTTTAATGGGGATTAAGTAAGGGATACAAATGTAAAGATAAGAGACAAATGTCACAAATGTCATATCTATTATTCAATGTACAAAACTCATCCACCTTTCTACAAATTGTATTTTTTTTCAGAATATATTGCTGAAAATTCAGAATAAGAAACACTTATTTATTTCCTTGGTTTTAATGTCCACCAAAAGAAGTTTGGTAAATAAAAGTAACTTTGTAAACATTATATTACACCCCCCACCCCCCTTAGGTTTGATAAGGTATTATAAGGTATTATATTAGCGTGTCCGTCTTGAATGTTCGTTGCAAATGAAACATATCGGCTTAAAAAAATTCTGGGGAGAACCCTGTATGGGTGAAAGGGTTAAAAGTGAACTAAAATAATGCTACAGACAAAATATCAGTGTCTTCACTTAAAGTCATTCAAAGGACCCTGTTAACGATTAAAACACATTTGACTCCTGTGACCTTGAAAGTCAAACATGGACATTAAGTTGAATAAACTTAATAGCCCTTCATCCCAGAATGCAACTTGCCAACTATCACCACCCTATACCTTTTTTCAATGAGAAGATGACTTTTAAAGACTTATGCACAATTGACCAGATGTGACCTTGGAAGCGTGTCAAGGTCATTCTCATGAACAAACAATCACCCTTGACATTTTGTTAATCAGAAGTCATTTAAAAACTTTGTAGCTCTCCATCCAAGCATGTTACTGGCCAAATATCATCACCCTGGACCTTTTGGTTATTCTTCAGAAGTCGTTTATAGATTTCAACATATTTCACCCCTGTGACCTTGAATATCGGCAAAAGTCATTCATTTGAACAAACTTGGTAGCCCTTCATGCCCACATGCTACTGGCAAAATATCATCCTGGCCCTTCTGGTTATTCAGAAGTTGATTAAAGATTTAATATATTTGATCCTGGTGACCTTGAATAAAAATCAAGATCATTGAATTGAACAAACTTGATATCCCTTCATCCCAGTATCTTATTGGCAAAATATCAACATTCTGGGCCTTATGATTATTCAGAAGAAGTTGTTTATAGATTTCAAATATATTTGACCCCTGTCACCTTGAATATGAGTCAAGGACATTCATTTTAAAAAACTAGGTACTGATAGTCCTTTATGTCAGCATATTACTGGCCAAAATTATTTGAAAGTTTTTTCTAAGATAATTTACCCTGCCAAGGTCTTTCATTTGAGCAAACTTGGTAGCCATTCATGCGAGTATGTGATTGGCCAAATATCATCATCTTGGGCTTTCTGGTAATTCATAAGAATTTGTTAAAAGATTTCAACATATTTGACCCCTGTTACCTTGAAAATTGGCGAAGCTCATTCGTTTTAACAAACTTGATAGTCATTCATGGCTTCATCCCAGCATGCTACTTGCCAAATATCATCACCGTAGGTTGATATTCAGTAGAAGTTATTAAAAGTAAAAAATTGACGACGGACGGACGCCGCAACACGGAAAAAATGCTATATTTGGTAAACGTATGTAGAATAGTAGGGAAGTTATGGTCTGGACAAAACTGACGCCCAGCCTGCCACAACGCGAAACCATTATGCGTCCCGTTCAAGACAAATCTAAACAATATAAAGGCATTTCATCTTTACCATTACAGCGTTAAGCCCAAGATCAAATGAGTTTTTGAGAACACATTGTCAACAAGTTTTAAACTTGAATTTTCTGTACTAGCGTATTAGTTGAAAATGAAGGTCAATACCACCACAGCTATAATATGCAAAAAGTAGGATAGAAGCACTCTCTCTCCCTTCGAGATTTTGGCACAGCATCCGGGTTCACCGCAGCACGGATTGTTTTTCAAGTCACAGCAATCTATCGGACAGTTTTCTTTGGTTTCTCCAACATCACACACTCTGTTACCGCAATTCTTGTATTTACCTTCACATTGCTTCTTAAAGCACAAGGAATAGGCCCAGCAAAACCCTGGAATTTTCTTCCACCATGACCTACATTTTTTATCCACGTTGGCTTGACCTTTACATCCTCCACAGTTAAACGGTTGACCATCGGATCGCGGTTTACCGTTTCCTTTCTTGGTGTCCCGCCCACATTTATCGCAGTACTGTTCTTTGGACGCCGACTGGTACGTGCTTGGGCACGTGCTGTTTACGTCATTTTTACAGTTATTACAGCAGCTGTACCAGTGAAGACGACTGATCCCTCCAAAGGTAAACGACAGACAGTTCCCTAGGCTTGGCTGGTCCCCTGTTCTTCGTAGCACGCGTTCAGCAGCCGACACCTCTGTCACCAAAAACACAGCATATATGAATGTGATATAACTGATGAATTTTAGCATTGTGGAGTATGGCTCAGAATGAACACTTGTCCGAGGTTGATGCGACTTATAAATAATAGAGATTCGTGAGATAAATACAGTTTGTATGTTAAAGTGTTGCGGCGTATATGTTCACCTCACCCCAATGTGACGCCCGTCTTAATCAAGTACAATGAGGATCACATATCAGGTGACGATAATCACGACTATACACGGAAATGTACCAAGTGTCGGGCTTTGAGGCTCTGTAACGATGACGGGGCGTTCTTGATTTTTGTCGTTTATCATTTAGACTGCATACGAATGTACTTGGCTTCAGAGCATGTATGACCCGGAATGTGTTTGTAGATATCGACATGTCCGTTTTCTTTCAAATGCATTCCGAAAGTACAGAGCGATATCAAGTTATATACGTACATGTATATCTAAAGTACAGAGCGATATCAAGTTATATACGTACATGTATATCTAAAGTACAGAGCGATATCAAGTTATATACGTACATGTATATCTAAAGTACAGAGCGATATCAAGTTATATACGTACATGTATATCTAAAGTACAGAGCGATATCATGTTATATACGTACATGCTGTATATCTGAAGTACAGAGCGATATCATGTTATATACGTACATGTATATCTAAAGTACAGAGCGATATCATGTTATATACGTACATGCTGTATATCTGAAGTACAGAGCGATATCAAGTTATATACGTACATGTATATCTAAAGTACAGAGCGATATCATGTTATATACGTACATGCTGTATATCTAAAGTACAGAGCGATATCAAGTTATATACGTACATGTATATCTAAAGTACAGAGCGATATCATGTTATATACGTACATGCTGTATATCTGAAGTACAGAGCGATATCAAGTTATATACGTACATGTATATCTAAAGTACAGAGCGATATCATGTTATATACGTACATGCTGTATATCTATAGTACAGAGCGATATCAAGTTATATACGTACATGTATATCTAAAGTATATTTAGCAGTGTTCAGTGTCAGATTATGTCAAAGTTGTCAACTTCCATCATTTAGAAACCAGTGACAGTCAATTTTACACTCGGTCTTATAATTGACCTGTTTTAGACGGTGTAGTTGGATTGTAATGGTTCCAGTTCTCTTTCCTTTTTTTCTGTATTAGAGCAGTATGCAACCTCCCTATATCCTCGCCATTCAGACACCAATTATGTTTTTCCGGACTTCTGCCTAATATGACTGTCTGCATGATGTAAGATTTGATAAAGATCACTAAATGATGCATGCTTGTTATTTCGTATCCGGCTACGCGCCTGGTTAGATTTGACCTTTGGACCTCATTCAAACACTTGGAATAGCACATGTACAGCGATGTTGTGTTGTTACCAAGAAATAGTACTAGGCTGAACGTTACGTAGATATATTTTAGTCTGTAAGACAGCCGTCCCCAATGTTACACAAAACATTTAAGTTGCATTACATATTTGTCACGGTGGCCAAACTTATTAACAGTTTTTCCAGTAATTTAGTATTTAAAATGATGAATTTTAAATACGATGTGAAATGAGTACATGTTAATACTTGCGCTGTGTATCGTGTGTAATGGTATATATGTCTGTGTCAGGTAATGTACCTGTGTTATAATTGTGACGTATGAGAGGTGGATGCAAGTATCGGCCGAGAGTGACACTTTGACCTATGACCCTGTCCATGCACGTGAAAAGCCTCACCCTGGGCTCTACCCAGGTGAGGTAACTCACTCTATACCAACCCTTGGATTGGATAAGACGTATGTGAATTGCCTGTGTGCGATACCGCCACAGTGCAAGGTAAGTCTTACATTAAATTTAAATAATATAAAACAAACTATTATTTCTATTTAACAAATTATTAAATAAAGTACTGTGGTTTTATAATCTATTGCATTTGAATTATATTGCCGTCAAATATCTGAGGCTATAAGTTAAATTAGGGTACACGTGGTCAGGTATTATAACAAGTCATAGGGTTAAAATTAGGGTGTAATTATGTTATGTAAGTTTCTGAAATAAAATATAATATTTATTTACAAGTAATGTCTAAATATTAAATACTTTATGGTATTAATATATGTGGATATAGTTATACGTTTACACTTGTCCGTTTATGTACACTTAGACATTGTATTTTTATTTCAGGTAACTGTCTCCGTTCATGGTGTGAATGTTTAAATAAACTGTCATCTGTGTGTGCATATGTCTTTGGGTTATTGTATCTATATATTCACACAAGAAGAAACCCACACATATACTCGTGTGACATATTCTTTTGACAAAATGAAACTCTTGGGGAAAGTCAAAGATGTTTTCATAAAAGCCTTCCGTCTCCATACATTGTACATCACGAAATAAATACTCGTTTAAGCCATCGTCTGATAGTACACCAGCACAACTGTGCTAGATATAAATAGATATTCACCGCTCTAAACATTAAAACTAACTTATAACACTTGTAATACGATTTACCTAATGAGTGTGTAGTTGTCTGAATGGGCGTTGTAAAATAAGCACCATTTTCAAGGGGGGGGGGGGATCCATTTTGAGAGTCCATTATGAGCAAACGCTATATTCGGCTATTAACTTGTTAGCACATGTATATAAAAAAATATTCATTCATTTATATACTATCACAGACTGGTATCACACATGAATAATCACAGACAGGAATTACAGACAGGTATTACACATGTATAATCACAGACAGGTATTACACATGTATAATCACAGACAGGTATCACACGTATAATCACAGACTGGTATTACACATGTATAATCACAGACAGGTATTACACATGTATAATCACAGACAGGTATTACACATGTATAATTACACACAGGTACTAAACGTGTATATATTGGATCAATTGAAGTGAGATTACCATTAACATGTAATATCGTTAAGCGGAAAAATTGTTCTATATTCAGGACAGAAGATGGATTACATCAGGAAGGGGTCGGTGTTATGCTATCTAAGAAAGCATCCATCATTCTTAAAGAGCATACGATCCATCAAAGAAATAAAGGTGATGCTGGCAGGATTCTTCTACAAGTACCTCAAAATCATTGTTATAAAACTATATGGACCAACCTACGTATCAAACGATAAAGCAAAGTCAGGATTCAAAGATTAACTGAATGACTTAGTCGAAGCTTAAAAAACCCTGGAAATTGAGGATAAGCAAAATAGTGAAAATGAAGTGGAAAAGTTTAAGAAACGAGTAAAAGAGGCGTACACCAATGTGGCAGTAGATAACCTAGGATCCAGAAAAAGAGGGTTAAAGCCATGGATTATTAAAGAGTTTTGGAAGTCGGTTGAAAAACGGATAGAACTAAATGATAAGATAGCGAGCAGTAGATCAGATGGAGTGAGAGACAGACTGAGAACGCTAAAATGTGGGAAAGATTAAAAAGATAAACACAAATATGAGGAGGGACAGACAAAAATGAATGGAAAAAAACAAAAAGAGCAGCCAGCATGGGGGAAATGAAAACCGTTTATTAGGTGACAAGGACGCTAAGGAATGATAGAAGAAGAACGCCTACTGTGACAAGGGCGCTAAGGAATGATAGAAGAAGAACGCCTACTGTGACATGGACGCCAAGGAATGATAGAAGAGGAACGCATACTGTGACAAGGGCGCTAAGGAATGATTGAAGAGGAACGCCTTCTGTGACAAGGACGATAAGGAATGATAGACGAGGAACGCCTACTGTGACAAGGACGCTAAGGAATGATAGAAGAAGATCACCTACTATGATAAGGACGGTAAGGAATGAAAGAAGAAGAACGCCTACTATGACATGGACGTCAATGAATGATAGAAGAAGAACGCCTACTATGACATGGACGTCAATGAATGATAGAAGGAAAACGCCTACTTTGACAAGGACAGCAATGACTGATAGAAGGAAAACGCCTACTGTGATAAGGTCGGTAAGGAATGATAGAAGGAAAACGCCTACTCTGACAAGGACGGCAATGACTGATAGAAGAAAAACGCCTACTTTGACAAGGAAGGCAATGACTGATAGAAGGAAAACGCCTACTTTGATAAGGACGGCAATGACTGATAGAAGAAAAACGCCTACTTTGACAAGGACAGCAATGACTGATAGAAGGAAAACGTCTACTTTGACAAGGACGACAATGACTGATAGAAGGAAAACGCCTACTGTGATAAGTGCGCTAAGGAATGATAGAAGAGGAACGCCTACCGTGACAAGGACGTTAAGGAATTATAGAAGAAGAAGAACTATATTGACAAGGACGCCAAGGAATGATAGAAGAAGAACGCCTACTGTGACAAGGATGCCAAGGAATGATAGAAGAAGAAGGCCTACTGTGACAAGGACGCTAAGGAATGATAGAAGAAGAACGCCTACCGTGACAAGGACGCCAAGGAATGATAGAAAAAGAACGCCTACCGTGACAAGGACGATAAGGAATGATAGAAGAAGAACGCCTACTGTGATAAGGACGTCAATGAATGATAGAAGAAGAACGCCTACTGTGACAGGGACGATAAGGAATGATAGAAGAAGAACGCCTACTGTGATAAGGACGTCAATGAACGATAGAAGAAGAACGCCTACTGTGACAAGGACGATAAGGAATGATAGAAGAAGAAGAACTATATTGACAAGGACGCCAAGGAATGATAGAAAAAGACCGCCTACTGTGACAAGGACGCTAAGGAATGATAGAAGAAGAAGAACTATATTGACAAGGACGCCAAGGAATGATAGAAAAAGACCGCCTACTGTGACAAGGACGCTAAGGAATGATAGAAGAAGAACGCCTACTGGGACAAGGACGATAAGGAATGATAGAAGAAGAACGCTTACTGTGATAAGGACGCCAAGGAATGATAGAAAAAGAACGCCTTCTGTGATAAGGACGCCAAGGAATGATAGAAGAAGAACGCCTACCGTTACAAGGAGGCTAAGGAATGATAGAAGAAGAACGCCTACCGGGACAAGGACGCTAAGGAATGATAGAAAAAGAACGCCTACTGTGATAAGGACGCCAAGGAATGATAGAAGAAGACCGCCTACCGTTACAAGGAGGCTAAGGAATGATAGAAGAAGAACGCCTACTGTGATAAGGACGTCAATGAATGATAGAAGAAGAACGCCTACCGTTACAAGGAGGCTAAGGAATGATAGAAGAAGAACGCCTACTGTGATAAGGACGTCAATGAATGATAGAAGAAGAACGCCTACTGTGACAAGGATGCCAAGGAATGATAGAAGAAGAAGGCCTACTGTGACAAGGACGCTAAGGAATGATAGAAGAGGAACGCCTACTTTGACATGGACGTCAATGAATGATAGAAGGAAAACGCTTACCGTGATAAGGACGCCAAGGAATGATAGAAAAATAACGCCTACTGTGACATGGAGACAAAGGAATGATAGAAGAGGAACGCCTACTGTGACAAGGACGCCAGGGAATGATAGAAGAAGAACGCCTACTGTGACATGGAGGCCAAGGAATGATAGAAGAGGAACGCCTATGAATCTGTGCAAGGAGAAAATCTATGTTCGATATATGGCGTTGAATGGAATTCCGGACAAATTCACACGCATGCTCAAATTGCTTTTAGAGAACACTGGGTGCGCTATATTAGAGAAAAGTAAAGAATCAGAATAGTTTGATGCTAAGACAGAAGGTAAACAGGGATGTGTTATATTTATATTTTTGTTTCTTATAACCATCGATTTGATACCGCAGTCATCAAAACAAGAAGATTTAGAGAGTTTGTAGACGATTCAATCCTATTGTTATCAAAGCACCGATAACAAGATCTACAAAGCAAAATCAAATAGTTTAAAAACATACGCAGAAAAAGGTCAAGAATGCAAGAAAAGCGAACGAACTAAAGATTAATGCATGGATAGAGAAAAAAAGAGTGAAGAAGATACGGAATTACGCGAGAAGGGGCAGTGATTAAGAGAACAAGAACAGGCTTGGTAGAGAAAGGGACACCTAACAGACTCAGGAAAATATTTAACTATTCTATCTGACCCACCGTGACAAGCATGTGAACTTCAAACGACATGAGATCGATCGACCGGCACGTCTCTCGCGCCACAGACACCCCTTAAAGTTAACTAAATAAATCTCTTGCAATTACGAGCGAAATACCATAACATATAAAAATGAGACAATAGGTTTTCCAATAGCTATAAGGTTAACAAATAATGGATGGATGGGCGGCAATCAACCAACAAACATATGGATAACAAAAATTCACAAAGGCAACCTCACCTGTCTAGTAGCTGGTGGAAGAGTGACCTTTCCCGCCAGCTACCCGATTATATAATCCGCACGCGGAAAACTGGCAGGTCAAATATATATATATATATGCGAAATCAGTATTGGTGCATAGCAGGATGATGCCGACATGTTAGAATATTTAACTTGATTTAACTTATACATGTATGAAAAAAACTCAAAGTTAGGCTGTTGCATGAGCATTTGCAGTTCTCTCGAAAAATATCAAATAGCAATTCCTGTTTTAGGGCAGAGGTTTCAAGGTTAAAACAGTTGTAATTATAAAGGCAAGTATAACCAAAGGTATTAGACTAACAATGGGTTATATAAGATGACGTATCTTTCCGGAATACATCGCAAAAAATGCTCTCTTTTCCCAAACCAAATGTATATAGACAAACTTAACCTTACTTCTAAATCAACTATGGTTCTAAGATGTTCTGTTAGAAGTAATATACCATAACAAGTTCACCATTATCTAATATACAGAAATTAGTCCACGCCTATCCTCGTCGTTACACCGAGAGACACGACGATACTGGGAAGTGGGTGTAACTGTGACCTTCTTACGAAAATAAGGTAACGCCCAATACTTCCCCCACCTTTACCCAGATACAACACCAATTTTACTATAGTGGGTCAACATCTTACCAAATCGTTTTACATACAATTAGTAAACAGTGGTTTTAAGAAAGACAATAGAGAAGAGTGTACAAAACAAACAGGAACAAATAAGATATTTCACTGTCACTAATCCTTTATGAAAAGTTGTCCTCTGTGAATTAAACAAATATACATAGACACATCCGAAGGCATGCAGTTATACTGTACCTAATATACTAGACGTGTCTATAAAAAGGGGGCATTATATCTTCACAAGACGACAGCATGCGTTTTTCAGGACACATATTCAACGCGTTTTGAAATAGATCTTTTTACACTAGCGGTTTAGGGGGAAATGAAGGTCAACACCACAACAGCCATGATATGTTGTATAAAGTTGGGTAGGAGCAACCTCCTCTCTCCCCTCGAGATTCCGGCGCAACACCCGGGCTCACCGCAGCATGGCTCGTCACAGCAATCTATCGGACAGTTGTCTTTGGTTTCTCCATCATCACACACTCTGTTACCGCAATTCTTGTATTTACCTTCGCATTGCTTCTTAAAGCACAAGGAATAGGCCCAGCAAAACCCTGGAATTTCCTTCCACCATGACCTACATTTTCGATCCACGTTGGCTTGACCTTGACATCCACCACAGTTAAACTGTTGACCATCGGATCGCGGTTTACCGTTTCCTTTCTTGGTGTCCCGCCCACATTTATTGCAGTACTGTTCTTTGGACGCCGACTGGTATATGCTTAAGCACGTACTGTTTACGCCATTTTTACAGTTATTACAGCAGCTGTACCAGTGAAGACGACTGATCCCTCCACTGGTAAACGACAGACAGTTCCCTAGGCTTGGCTGGTCCCCTGTTCCTCGTGGCACGCGTTCAGCAGCCGACACCTCTGTCACCAAATACACAGCATACATATGTGTGATATAACTGATCGATTTTAGCATGCTGGAGTATGGCTCAGAATGAACACTTGTCCGAGGTTGATGGGACTTATAAATAATAGAGATTCGTGAGATAAATACAGTTTGTATGTTAAAGTGTTGCGGCGTATATATGTTCACCTCACCCCAATGTGACTGATCGATTTTAGCATTGTGGAGTATGGCTAGAAACGTACACTTGTCCGAGGTTGATGGAACTGTCTTTTAAATACTGGTTCGTAGGATCAGTCTGCCAAAACCATTGCCGTGGGTCTGTTTGATGCATCCCAATATGCTATAGTCTGTTTTTAAAATTATCTTACTAAAATCGGAGTTTTTATTTAAATTATCACTTAGGACAGAGGAAGATATATATATATGCATTGCTCCTTTTATTAAATAAAATTAAACACTAAAATCACCACAACGTAATATTTTAAAAGAATAATGATAATGTTTTTAAATGTAAAGAAATGTAGTAGCGTACGTAAATACCAGCATCAAATACATGTACAGTAGTTGTGTATCCTGGTACTTGTCAAGTGTAAATGGATTATACTGTTTTCTCACATACGAATTCTTGTAGAATTAAAGGAAACATTACATTCTAGATCGATCTTGGTGCCAAGTATGAAAAGAACTTTATCAGATCTACAAAAGATGGCATTTTACTTTAATTGATCTGCATTCCTTACATGTACTTTCACCGAGTCCCCTCTTGTAGAATAACGAAAATTTTGCGCAGTCCCCTCGAAAAATGTCAGTTAACAACTCCTGTTTAGGGCAGACGTTTCAAGATTAAAACTGTTGTAATTATAGAGGCAAGCATTACCAAAGGTATTAGACAATCAACTGGTTAACACATGGTTTTTATTGTGATACAACCAATAAAAAAATCCCAAATAGGAATCTTGTACATTAACTAAAACCTCATCATTTCCTTTGTTATTTGCAACTATGACCAATGTTATTGTATAAGTATTGCATAACTATTGCAAAATGCTTATGAGGATAAGGGGTAGTTTTAACAAAGGAACAAAGAGGAACATACATGTACATATACTATTTGAGAAAGATCCCGCCAGTACTTTATGAGAAATAGAGATAACAAAACTTAACAGTCAAAATCCAAGATGGCCTCCGGTCAACATTTTGTTTTTCTTAGTCTCAATAATAAACATGCCAGAGACCAAGGGGAACCTGCATATCAAATCTGAAAATGTCCCCTCTAGTACTTCCTGGGAAATAGCGCTAACAAGACTTACCTTTCATAATCGAAGAAGGCCGCCTGTCGGCCATTTTGTTTTTCCGATCCGTCTCAAATGTAAACTACACAGCTATAGACCAAGGGAAACCTGGAAATAAAATTTGAGAAAGATCCCTCCACTACTTTCAGAAAAAGAAATAACAAAATTTAACTGTCAAAATCCAAGATGGCCGCCACTTTCAGTCAGACTCATGGGTAGGACATTACCCAATAAAACATGTCCACAGTGGAACACCTATATGCACTCAATGTGTAGATTTATGGCATATGGATATTCTTCTAGAGGGTGTAAAATTTTGGTCAGAAACGAGGCTGTGCCGAGCTTCTGACACCGAATTCTACACCCTCGTGTAGAATATCCCACAAACCTACATATGATAAATTATTACCAATATAGAGTAATGATGAATTTAACAAATGTAACACAGAGACTCCTACATCGAGAGAAATGTGTCTTTAGTTTAGTATGATACTCTCTGAGATATCTTTATTGTTCATCTTTGCTATTTGTCCGACGATTTTTTTTATTTTATTATGTACGAAACACAGAATTATGGTATCGATATCTTGGATCAGCTGAAGTCATGTGGCCATTAACAGGTGAAATTGGAAGCGGAACAATTGTTATACATTCAGTAAGGGAAGATGGGGTCCATCAAGAAGAAGTAGGTATTATGCTAATTGGGAAAGCAACCAAAGTTCTAAAGAGTAGAAAATCCACCAACGAAAGGGTGATACTGGCAAGATTCTTCTCCATGTACCTTAAAATCATTGTTATACAGATATATATACCAGACCAACAAACGAATCAAGCGATGAGGCAAAGTCAGATTTCGTAGACAGACTGAAGATATTAGTAGAAGCAAGCATGATATATTATCCCAGACCATTCCAGGCATGTCCGACCATGATATGGTAGTGGTAGAAGCTGACATCAAACCAATCCAAACCAAGCCCAAGCCCAGGAAAGTCCAGCTATATCGGAATGTCGACTGGCAAGAAGTTAAGGATGCAGCAAAATTGGTCAGTGATAGCATTATGCAAGACCCCAACGAGGACGTTAACAATCTCTGGCAAACTTTCACGGACGGTGTCAACAAAATTGTCAACAAACTTATACCATCTCGTCTAACATCTAGCAGACACAATCTCCCATGGCTAAAAAGGGCACAACGCAGAGTTATTCGGAAAAAACACCGACTATACCGCAAAGCATGCAAAACAAAGAAAAAAGAAGACTGGGCCAAGTACAAGCAGCATAATCATGAGACCCAAAAATCCTTAAGGAAAGCAGAGTGGGACCACATCAACCACGTACTAGAGGCTAGCGTCGTAGAAAAGAACAGTAAGCATTTTTGGACCTATATAAAATTAAAAAAACAAGATAACATCGTAGTTGCCCCAATCAAAGATGGCACAAGGCTACAAACTGACAGGAGACGTAAAGCTGACTTGCGCAACAAGCAGTTTCAATCTGTGTTCACAAAGGATAAGAACGAGGAGTTACCCCCTTTACCAGGCTCGCGAAAACCCACCATGGACAACATAACTATTGATATCAAGGGAGTGGAAAAACTTATCGGCAACCTGTCAGCAACCAAAGCCAGTGGCCCAGATGGAATACCTAACCAATTTTTGAAAGAGTGTTGTAGTGAACTAGCACCAGGCTTATCCGTCATATTCGACAAATCACTCAGCAATGGTTGCCTATCATCAGACTGGAAAAAGGCTAACATCACGCCAATCTACAAAAAGGGTAACCGCCACCTTGCCAGCAATTACCATCCTGTCTCACGTACCTGCGTCTGTTCAAAACTTCTCGAACACGTCATTTGTAAACACCTCCTCACGCACTTAGAAAATAACAATATTCTGACGGAAGTACAACATGGATTTCGAACAAAACATTCTTGTGAAACCCAACTCCTTGTCACAACCCAGGACCTTCTTTCCCGATTCGACCAAAAGAAACAAATTGACATGGCTATTTTAGACTTCATTAAAGCCTTTGACACGGTCCCGCACCGACACCTTTTGTATAAACTTGACCACTACGGCGTTCATCGCGACATCATTCGCTGGATTTCATCATTCCTGCAGGAGAGAACCCAACGGGTACTAGTGGAGGGTGAACATTCAGCATCAGTGCAAGTTGAGTCCGGAGTCCCCCAAGGGACAGTACTCGGACCACTCCTCTTTCTCTGCCAGATCAATGACCTTCCACTAGCAGTGAAATCCACCGTCAGGTTATTTGCAGACGACTGTCTCCTTTATAGGACAATAAGAACTGTCCATTATTTCTTGATTTAAAATCATTAGAACGATGGGCATCAGCGTGGGGCATGTCCTTTAACACCAGCAAATGTTACATCATGAGGATCCATCGCTCAAATCTCCATCAGCCTTTCGCTACACTCTCGGTGATACCATACTAGAAGGGGTAACTGACAACCCATACCTCGGCATCATCTTCAGCAACACCATGAAATGGTCATCACAAATCACCAAACTTTCCAACCGTGCCAACTCCACACTGGGATTCCTTCGGAGAAATCTGAAGAAATGTCCGACGGATCTGAAATTGTGCGTTCAAGTCCCTAATTCGATATGTATTGGAGTATAGTTCCACCATCTGGGACCCTTACACGGACAAGGACATATATACCATAGACAAAATATAAAGGCGCGCAGCTAGATTCATTCTTTCAGATTACCAAAGAGAAAGCGTTGTAACATCCATGACAATCCTTCCTTCCCACGTACACTAATCGATTGGAACGCTCTAAAAGAATCCTCCATCAGTGCAACTACGGTCGATCAATTCCGTAGTAGCCTCAATACTAACTTTTACTCCACTCCTCCTCCCCGGATGTGATATTCAATTTATGAATTTTGTCCGGAACCTTACAGATACAGATACAGATTACTTTTCATGGGAGATTTCAATACACAAGCGGATGTGGATAACGCAGGTTATGGGAATTGATCGAGAAGGAAAAGAAAAAATATGACACCACTAATTTTCACGAGAATGATGACAAGAAAGGGTTCTGTATTGAGTTAAAGAACAGATTGGAAAGACTGGAGGTTGAAGATGAGGAAAAATATTATTATGAAAAGAAAATAATTCGAAAACGTCTAAAAGAGACGTACACCAGTGTGGCAGAAGAGAAAGTATGGTTCAGGAAAGGAGGGAAGAAGTCATGGAATAGTAAAGAGTCTTGGAAGTCTGTCGAAACTATAGCAACTGTGGGCGAGCTCACAAATATACCCCTGCTTGCGCTAACCCTTGTTTCTAGAGCAGAGCAGATACTTTACACTTCATAACCAAAGAAAAAATAGTTGAATCGCAAATTCCTTCTTCGTGCACATCTTCATGTTTCACTGTGTCAAGTTACAATAAATAAAAAAATAAAATAAGTAGGAGGTGAGCTTGCAATGTTTCTGAAGCAGAAATTTTTTGTTTCAATGGCCATAACGCCAAGAACAATGGCTGATTTATCCCCTTTCCTCTTATTCAAGTTCTCTTTCTATATGTTGATTCTATTCTTCCTTTAATTCTTCTATCTCTCATTCGTTTCTTTCTTAAAAACAGTACAGTAATATAGTGTTGAAATTTTGCTAATTACTAGAAATGAAATGAGTGTGTGTATGTGTATGGAAAAATGAATTGTAAATGTAGTATGTACTATTAAAAAAAGTTGAATCGCAAATTCCCTTTTTCATGCACACCTACTTAAAGTGTACCTTCACTGTGTCAAGTTACGAAAAATCCAACCAACGGTTTAGGAGGACATGTGCTTGCAAGGATCCTGGACAGACGGACCAACAGGGTGATAATGTATTCAGCTTTAGACATTATACCCCGGTGTTTGGTGATATCGAAGTGTCTGTACAGAGCGAAATCAAATGAAGCTCCCAACAATCTAGTGATCATGGTTTCAAGTGAAGAAGAAGAAAAAAAGAAGAAAAACAACTGACAATAGAAACTCCATGGGTTTAGCTACTATACCATGTAACTAAATAGGCATAGACATTAAACGTATATTCTTCATAGAATCTTGAGCTAAAGTTAGGTTTTTATTTCGATACAGGATGTGTATGATCTTCTACACCGGACTCCAGCATTTTTTAAAGAAAATACATTCATGTACCCATATATAGAAGTTCGGTTATAGCCATCACATGTTTAACAAAATATGATATATGTGGTTTTAAATTTATGGATTGTGTGCTGATGTCACATCCCCTGGAAGATCGTTCCATAATTTTAATACTCGTGCAGAAAATAGTTCTTCCTTATTTCAATGTTTGAATTATGTGGATTAAGTCTTTTGTGGGGCCTCCTGGTGCCATGTCTTTTGTGGAACCTCCTGGTACCATGTCTTTTGTGGGGCCTCCTGGTACCATGTCTTTCGGATCAAGTCCTGTCACAATTTAAGGATATCTGACGTCTTTTGATCAAACACATCACTCCCTATCTTGTATACTTCTATTACATCACCTCTTGCACGTCTGAAGCTTAAAGTAGGTAAGGTTAGTCTTTTACGCCGCTCCGGATATGAAATATCAAGGAATTGGTTTCATTGTCATTCTTTGGACAATTTCCAACGTATCAATATGCTTAGCTAAATATATGGGTACACACTCTTGTCTAACAAGAGTTTTCTATAACAGCTTAAAAGTGCGTTCATTCGTGTGTTGAAACGTTCGTCGAATGAACGCGAACATTGAATTCGCCTTTCGCACTTATTATTTTGTCTTCAAATGTAAGGACATTTGTCTATTAACACCCCAGACCCTTCTCATGACATACCTCATCTAGTGCTTCATTGTTTAAGAAATATGTTAGCACTCTCAATTCATGATATCATATACTATTAATGAAGATATCTTATCGAATATATAAAAGATATCTTAAAAAATATGAAAGATATATATATATATATATTTCAAACATATGTGATATATTGTATATAAAAAAATATGTGATATATATTTCAGAAGATATTTTGATTACTTTTGATATTAT